CCCCTTTTCCCACCATTGGATGCCCTCAAAGTTAATTCCACAGTCTGTATTTCACCATTACATCCGATCTTTTTGCCGTCCTTAGTTGCTGAAGAACTGTTTATTCTGGGCCAGTAACTTGATGTATGGTAGCAATCTTTGACCCTTAAAAAAACCCTAGGAGGGAAGTACTTCTTACTTCATTTTACAATTATGCTAGTTTGGACCTGGAGTTCTGTCTTCAAGGCTAATGCCAGCTCCTCTTCACCCTAGGCTGCCCCCGGCTTGACTCCTCCATCGGAAGGGCTCTGCTACAGTGTCTGGGAGTCCTGCCTCCAAAAGCACACGCTCTAGGGAGGAGGTTATAGAGAAAGCCATCTCCAGCCAACCCCTCATTATCAATCTGACCCCACAGAAGCCAAGAGCTGTGTGCTAGCGGGAGCCTCATTAACTGCAGAAAAGTCCCAGGGAGGAGAAGTGGGTTGTTAAGCGGTTGGGTAGGAAAATCCCAAGACGAGCATTCCCACAAGAAAGAGCTGTGACCAGCACTCACGAGTGAGCTGTACCCTAGTAGAATGTCCACACCAAAGCGGCTGTGAGGAGTTTTGTTTTGCTTTGGGGGCTGGCAGAGCTAGGAGCTCCAGGGCTGCCCAGCCCTTGCTGGGCCTTGCAAGAGGCAGAGGCAGCTTGAGGCTCAGCTCTCGTGTTCACTCACTCATCATGTTCACTCATCAGGAGCCACTCCCTTCCAGGTTGAATTCTGGAAGCCCGGGTCCAATTCTCCAGCCTTTAAGGGGCCCACCTCGCTCTGCCCAGTGGGCCAGGCTCCTCACTTCTGGGCTATCTCCTGGGAGATGCAGCCCCCACCCCGGCCCATCTCCACCCACAGCTGCTCTTTGTTTGAGTGGTCTGTGATGGGTGGTCATCATCCCCTACTTCTCTGAGCATCCCAGCACAAGAATAGTGTCCTATTCAAATCTATCCCCAGACACAGAAAATGTACATAAGAAATATTCATCCTAGTCTCTAAGCAGGACTTGTCAGCTCACCTAGAAAGTGGGTTTTTCTTACTTTTGGAGTCCCCTGGGCAAGGGTGGAGGGAGAAAGAAAGACCAGAAGAAACTGGAAGGTAGAGGCATAGCACCACCCATGTGCTGATCTTTTCACACTATGAGGGCTCTTAAAAACTTAAAAGCTGCCAGAGGTCCCCAAGTCACAAATGAATGAAATGGGCCGGGGGACAAGGTCATTGGTGGCTTGGTTGGGGTCAGGGAAAGAAACTTCTGAAGGGCCAAGGGTCCTTGGGAAAGACTTGTTTGTTTGGCTCACATGGACTGAAGCAATCAAAGCCTTTAGCCAGAGAGGCAGCCGATTGATCACCCAAGCAACCACCGGGTCTGAGTTGCCAGTGCTAGGTTTGATGGGCCCTTGTTTACATGTTTATAAGAAGTGGTATAATACAATATTTTCACCTGAAGATCCCCCCAGCTCCTGAGTGCCTAGTCACCCTTGACAAGTTTGAGCAGCCAACTGGTTCCTCTGGATGGGATTCAAGTCCCTGGCCCTGTTTGCTAGGGTCTCACACTTCTGGTCCCATGGGAAGGCAGTCCAGTGACCATCCCTCCAGGACAGTTGAGGTACCAGACTTGTTCATTGTTATGGGTGGAATGTGTCCCCAACATTCTTGTGTTGGAAACTCAACACAACAGGTGGATTAATGATGTTATTCCAAGAGCAGGCGTGTTGTTAAAAGCATGTTCAGCCCCTCCTGCTCGACTGCTCTCTTGCCTTTCTGCCTTCTGACATGAGGTGGGGATGACATGCCAAGAAGGCCACTGGTACTGTGCTCTTGGGACTTCCCAACCTCCAGAAACATGAGCTGAATACAGTTCTTTTCTTTATAAATTACCCAGTCTGGGGTACTGTGTTACAGCAACACAAAACAGAGTAACATTTATCCACGTTGCCTCAGTGGGATCCCTAGAGAGCGAGGCACTGATGGTGGCTACACAAAACCAGATAGGATTTGCTAAGAGACCATAATCCTGGAGATTATGAGAAGGCCCTCTCAGCATGCACAGAACTCTGCTTGGAGGGGTGTGCAGGTGAGACTCTTTAGCTCTTCAGCTAGGGAGCCTCACCTCTCTTCCCCTCTGGGGTCTTAAAAGGATGGAAAGAGCCATCAATGGGGCTGCCATTCCATTTACACTTAGAGCATCTGAACAGTGGCTTTGAACCCATTGAGAGGGTTGTTGAGACACACATTATGGGGCCCTGCCCTCCAAACTCCTAAATCTTGGGGTTCAGTGGGGGTCCGGGTGTTGCCCAACTTGCATTTCTAATCAGTTGCTGAAGGCTTGAGCACTACACCAGGAGAACCACTGATTATAGGCAAAAACAAACAAAAACCAGCCAAGTCTGTTCTAAATCTACCTCAGGACCTAGGTAGATTTATGAATCTTTAGGAAACTGGTAATTTCACTTCCAGAAAGGAATAGAATCTTGAACACTCTTTCAGAAAAGCATGGCCTTGCTTTCCTTCTTTACGTGGACATGGGCACAGGAATTTTTCACCTCTTCCTTCCTTCATCATAAGAAAAAGTTTCCAAGTGAAATAATAATGACAGATGTTCCACTACTGGCCTTTGGGCTGGCAATCAGCAGAGATGGGTGGAGACTGTGGCAAAGTGAAAACCCACCAGTCACCATCAGCATCTTGCCAGATGGTAGACTCAAGTGTTGCCAGGGCTTTTCATTTTTGCAAGAGAACCTGGAAATCTGAATTTAATGTGAAATGTGCTGATTTTAAGATAACGGCAACCAGCGAGGCATGGTGGCTTACATCTGTAATACCAGTTAGGAGGTAAACATCAAGAGTATCACAGTTAGCGACTAGTCCAGGCAAAAAGTTAAGACCTCATGTCAACAAATAAGCTAGATGTGGTGGGTCATGTCTATAAATCCCAGCTATGCAGGAGGCATATGTAGGAGGATCTCTGCCTGAGGTGCAAAACCACAAGACCCTACCCAAAAAATAACTAAAACAAAACACAGGGGCGCTGTGGGTGTTGCTCAAAGGATAGAGTGCCTGCCTTGCAAATGTGAGGCCATGAGTTCAAATCTTGGTGCCAAAAAAAATATTGGCAACTAAGTCAAAAGTTTTAAAATGAAACCACGGAGAAAACAAAACAATAACAAACTCACAACTCTGCACTTCATTTTGCCCACTGGCACCAGTGTGCAGCTGCTGGTTTTAACAGCTGGGTACCTGCATAGAAATCATTTGATGAGTGATCCTCCCACCCAGTTTTAAAGAATCAAATACCACATCCCCAGACTGAGTATCAGGCAGCACCCCCACCTATCATCCATTCTTTGACCATCTGGGTGCTAGTTTTGGGGTACCTGGGCACTTCCCAAGGGCTGCAAATGTGTGGGCAGCTCTCTCCCATCCCAGAGTGGGCCCTGGGCCTAACTTTTAGGAAGGGAACTATAAGACAAGGGCAGTTTCTGGGGCAGAAGGGACCTTGGAAAGTCTGTCCTAGTCAGTTTCTGGCAAGAGGGACCCCATCAACAGATGTTAGGGAAGAGGGAAGACAGACATCTGCCACCAGTCTCAAGGTGAGGTGACACAGTTATAATCATGAGCAGAGATTCACACGGGAGAAAGACCAAGAGCTGGAAGCTAGCATGCTGAGGACACAGGGCCTAGTGGGAAGGAAGGAAGGTAGGAACTGGGTCTCAGGCCCCCCTCATGGGAGGCATGAGGAACCCATACCTGCAAGGCTCAGGGAACAGGTGTTCTGGGGCTGCACGGTGATATGGCCGGTGTTGTTAGAGCACAGGTGTCCTCTCGCTCTGCCCACATGTCCATCTACTGAGAGACAGACCCCAGGCCCTTGGAGAAGGAGCTGCTATCTCTCTGTCCCCAGACCTCCAGCTTCCCAACTGGCTAGATTGTCTCTGCTTTGCTTCCACATGGCTTCTTACAAAACTGCTGCAAACTGACTCCCCCGAGCAAACCCCAGCCCTCCCTTGCCCAGGGGTGCCAAGGTTTCCCTGGAAAGGGAGTGACAGCCTTCTCCCGAGGAAGCTTGAGTTCATTTGGCCACCACTGGAGGCCAGCAGGTTCCAAATGCCTTTTTGTTTTTGAAAATCTGACTCATGATAAAAAGCTTTGTGGCCCAAAATCCACAGAAGGCAAATGTGTCAAGTAACAATACTAGCCCCTGCCACATACCAGGCACTGGGACATTCCATTTTTCATGCTAGCTGACACTGGCAGCATGCATGGTGTGACTCAGGACTCAAGCTTCAGCACAGAAGGCCAGACAGGGCCACACAGCAAGACTCTATCTCAAAAAAAAAAAAAAATCCCCTCCTTTACCTCTATCTGCACAAAAGATTCCTATGAAGGATTCCTTCCTTATGCGTTCCTTGGCTCATCCAGCCAGCTTTGCATTCCTCCAATTCTTAGTCTCCCAGACCCTGATCTTAGATTATGATCACAAATTTTCTCCTTTCAAGAACAGGGAGATGCTGGAGGTGTGGCTCAAGTGACAGAGCTCCTGCTCAGCAAGTCCTCGAGGCCCTGAGTTCAAACCCCAATACTGCCCCCCCAAAAAACCCCAAAAACCAGGGTCCACAGGGCTGGGGTTGTGGCTCAGTGGCAGAACACTTACTTGCTTAGTGTGTGTAAGTCATCCTCAGAATTGGAAAAAAAGAAAGGAAGGAAGGAAGAAAGAGAGAGAGAAAGAGAGAGACAGAGGGAAAGAAAGAGGGAGGGATGAAGGGAGGGAGAAAAGAAAGAAAGAAAGAAAGAAAGAAAGAAAGAAAGAAAGAAAGAAAGAAAGAAAGAGGGAAGAGGGAAGAAAGAAAAGAAAGAAAGAAAGAAAGAAAGAAAG